TCTGTAAACATAGTAGTGAGTGTAAAGGTCCTCTGTAAACATAGTAGTGAGTGTAAAGGTTCTCTGTAAACATAGTAGTGAGTGTAAAGGTCATCTGTAGACATAGTAGTGGGTGTAAAGGTCCTCTGTGAAATTAGTTGTCTTCCTTTATTATTACACATAATTTCTTTCTTCCATCATATCATGTTAAAGAACACTAAATGTTAGTAAAAGTTAACTGGTTAAGGTCTGGGCTCAGATGTTCTGAAGGTGATTATCTGAATCACTGTTAAACAACATTTGGCAACCTCTAATTAATTGGTCAATATACAAGGTAAAAGCTTGTAATTCTGCATGTAGTTTACTCTTCTTAAATGTTTGCTATCTGGAAAGTTTTAACTCAGTTAATAGCTGTGTTTAAAAGATACACAAACAATAAAAATTTCGCTAATCACTGATTAAGCTAACCCCTATTTGAAAAACTGGGCCCTATTCAAATTTCAGTATGTGATTCTGTGAATGATTGGAGAAATAAAGGTTTCTTTCACATGTAATAAAACATAATCATTATATGACGTGAAGATGAGGTAAAACCACAGTCATACAGACCTACTTTATATAAAGCAGTGATAGGCTGATATTATCAAGAGACCAGGTAACATAATTTCTCTCATTATAAACTACTTATAGAAAGGCTGGCAAATGAGGAAAACCAAGGTACATTGTATTAATAAATTAACTATCCGGATCATGAGATGTGCAAGATGTTTGAGTTGTTGACATTGTATATGTAGTTGTTGTATGATTTATACTAAAAACCTGTATGATTAATATTTCTTGCTTGTTTTCTTTTCCAACAGAGCATCTTTTCTGACTTGACATCTTACTTGGTAGCCACTGATAAATCTCTTGAAGCTGTCAACAAACGTTTAGACAAGCCCGTCTCCATGAGGAACTTTCGACCAAATATTGTGGTAGATACCACAATGGAGGCATTTGATGAGGTATGGCGTGTGTAGCAATCAGGGAAATTAACTAATGAACTATACCAACATTTGAATTGGAAGAGTTCAAATGTGTCTTCAGGGGTGAATGAGTTAAAGGTACAGGGATCATAAACAGTGAAGTTGATTTACAATGATCATAGATGGTTCTCTTATAAGGACCAGAAGCTCTTGGCATTAGTAATAAAATGGCTTTTATCATATCTGTTTTCAAAACGTAGCAGTTTTATTGTTGTATTTTGATTTTTGCAGTCACGGAATGAGTTTTGCTGATGATTTAAATTTACAACATAAAGTTTAGTGCGTTATCTGTTACAGGACTTGTGGGGTGAGCTCATGTTTGGGGACAATGTATACATGAGGTGTTTGCACCCCTGCCCTAGGTAAGATGACATTACTAAGAGTTGGTGATAGCAAGGTAAACATGGTCAGGTAAATTTTCTGAAATATGATTGAATGATTCAAATAAATGACAAAAATGTTAGGATAATATGATTAAAATAGTGAAAGACTTTCCCTGATCTTAAAGTTTCGCGGGTCAAATGCATGATATTCAGACTTCATCTTGTTGTGGTAAAGGCGATTAAGTCTTAACCAAGCTTAGCTTACGTTGAAGGTCACATATTACAAAAGGTATGATGATTAGGTAATAACAGCACCAGGTGACCAATGCAGGTCCCATGGGCCTCCGATATTAAAGAAAAATTAGTGTACACACATTTTTGTGCACCAAGCTACATGTATCCTTATTGAAACAAGTTTCAGTTAAGTGTGTTCTCAAGTTTTCAGTTTGACAGGTAAGGTTTAATGTGTATCACTTTTAGATGAGATCTAGTTGTTTTGAAACTTCCCGATCTGCTTCACAGGTGTATACTGCCAACAGTTGATCCAGACACAGGAAAGAAAGATTCAGCCCTGGAACCTTACAAAACACTGGAGAAGTAAGTCAGCACTACACATACCATAAGTAGAGGAAATAAGCCTAAGTTGAAGTGAACAAGTAACAACAGGGTCTTTAGCAACATCAGTGGGAACTGGATTGTTTGGTGTATCATTTAAGACGACATTGTGTCATGTAGGAGGAAGCAGTCTTTTGGGGTTGTAATATATAAATCACATGCATAACAGGATGTTCTTCAAGAAAGATTGCAGTAGATATAAATTTCAGGGGGACATATTTGATAAAATTGATATATGGGGGATGGATGCATGGATCTGTTTTGAATTGATGTGTGTGCCGGCCATCATACAACAATGTCTATTGTATTGTAGATTCCGATGTAAACCAGGTTATGGTGAAGCTCCTTTCTTCGGAATCAATGCTGCAGTAGATTTTCCAGCAGACATACGTGTTGGGGATCCTGTGTACGCCAGGTACAGGACAAACTAGTCCAAAATATGAACCCATTTTACTGGACTTCTACAGTGGGACGTTATTTATCTGGACATTTTGTGTGAATCGGTGATGGATTTTGAAATCTCCAAAGCATTATGAAGAAGTGTCATGCAAAACGAAAATAAATGGCTTTCCAGTTGGTTATTTTAAGTGATGAAATTACTTTATCAAGATGTTTCAGGAAAACCTTAGCCAGACATGGTTTTAACCTAGACCTGGGTCATGTTAATGAAGTACATATCTTAACAGTTCCAATGTTTTATATCTTTGTTGTTAGAATGGATATTTACATAGAACATTGTATTTAAATATCGAGGCATTTATATAGTTCGTATTGCAGGCCAGTCAAAGCTGCTTTCAAATATCGTCTAACTTCACAGAAATGATACAATTTACTTGGCAATTTTTACAATTTCTTTTGATACAGCACCCAGAACATAAAGTTAAGCCTACATATATAATTATTATTTTACCATTAATTTATGATATACATTGTGCTGTGAAGATGCTTAAAATAATGGTCACAGCTTTGCTGGTAAACAGCACTTGGCATGCTAGCACATTATGTGTAAATGCCATATAAACACAGTTTACATTTTCCCTTTAATACCATACAAATCAAAATTTGTCTAATTAAATTCAGCATATACATGTAGTTCAGATTAATGCATGCATGCTTGTTTATGTTTTTCATTGAATAGAATAACCATCTCCCATGATCTAACCTTATAATAATGAGACCATGATAATGATGAAGTCAGCATGCGGACTATAGCATTTACAGTAACATGAATGCCACCCACACTTGGTAGGGGTATATATTGGTAGTGCAACAGGGTGGACAATTTATACCATATAGTGAGGATATCAAAGTTACAACTTTTATGTATATTTCATAATTCAAGTGAAATCGGATATGAAAGATGTGAAGATGAATCTGATTGCATTTCATAGGTGTATGATATTTGTGTAATTTTTTGTTTCATTTTGTTACTTTATTTCAAGCTATTCATATTGTGAACATGTTGTGAGCTGAAATATTTTTTACACATTACATCAGGAACTACACAATTCACTAATGATCTGTTATGGTGCTTGTATATGTATATTTTTTGAGGTTTACAATAAGTATATTGTTGTTATACCTGTTTCTGTACAGGTATAAGAGTCTCCATGTCAACATGATAGTACCAGGCTTTTGACTATTGCAACATGAACAGCTGCTTTTTAAGGTTATTTATGTGTTGTGATTTCAGGTATCCTTAGTAACCATAGATATTACCTCAAGGTGCTGGACAGAGTGGAACACTCTAACTAGATATTGGCTGATTTTTGTTGCTGATGTATTTTATCAGTTCATTAAAGCATTGAAGATAGCACACATATAAGAGTGCATTATTTTGATAATGGAAATACAGCATTAATCAGGGTTTCCTGATGTCTATTCTAGGTTAATAAATAACCAGATCCAGACTCCTATACGTCTCTGTTATCAATGGTCTAAGGCCTATAACACAGTCCTGTTAAGTATAGGATTTGCTGTGAAACTACAAGGAAATTTCATTCTCACTACAGATTATAAAGTTTCATCAATTTATGAGATGAGAACTAAGATCAAAGCCTCAGTACTGTATATACGTCAACTGGAATTAGATTTGAAGGCGGGCACCTGGGACAACGCGAGTAAATCTCTTGATTATGAGCTGGTATCGTTGCAAATGTTCCTTCATCCTCGACACTCCAGGGCCTACCTCACGTTTACTCTCTACACCCCTGGAATAAGTTATAGCAAAATTAAAGGCTCAGCGTGAGCCACCTTGTGGATGAGACAAGAAGACTAGTTCTATCCTTTTATATACATCAGAAGAATCTTGCAGTTGCGTAATGGTTAAAAAAGTCGGGTGTTGCTCCTCTGTAACCTTCAAAGGACACGGGTATCAGCATGGCGATTGGTCAGTTTTTAGCTCACCTGGCCTGAAGGGCCAAGTGAGCTTATGGCATGGTGCTCCGTCCGGCGTCTGTCCGTCCGGCATCAACTTTTTACTATAAACAACTTCTTCTCAGTAACCAAAAAGGCCTAGGGTGATGATATTTGGCCAGAAGCATGCTTAGATGAAGGGCTACCAAGTTTGTTCAAATAAATGACCTTCATCCATTTTCAAGGTCACAGGGTCAAATATGTTAAAATCTTCAAACAACATCTTCTGAATAACCGAGAGGCCTAGGGTGATGATATTTGACCATTAACATGCTGGGATGAAGGGCTACCAAGCTTGTTCAAATAAATGACCTTGATTGATATTCAAGGTCACAGGGGCCAAATATGTTTAAAACCTTTAAACAATTTCTCCTGAATAACCAAGAGGCCTAGGGTGATGATATTTGGCCAGTAACATGCTGGAATGAAGGGCTACCAAGTTTGTTCAAATGAATGGCCTTGACTTCTACTCAAGGTCACAGGGGTCAAATTTGTTTAAAACCTTTAAACAACTTCTTCTGAAAACCCAAGAGCCCTAGTGTGATGATAGTTGGCCAGTACCATGCTGAAATGAATGGCTACCAAGTTTGTTCAAATAAATGACCTTGATTGATATTCAAGGTCACAGGGGTCAAATATGTTTAAAACCTTTAAACGACTTCTTCTGAATAACTGAGAGGCCTAGGTTGATGATATTTGGCCAGTAACATGCTGGGATGAAGGGCTACCAAGTTGTTCAAATAAATGACCTTGACTTATATTTAAGGTCACAGGGGTCAAATATGTTTAAAACCTTCAAACAACTTCTTCTGAATAACCGAGAGGCCTAGGTTGATGATATTTGGCCAGTAACATGCTGGGATGAAGGGCTACCAAGTTGTTCAAATAAATGACCTTGACTTATATTTAAGGTCACAGGGGTCAAATATGTTTAAAACCTTCAAACAACTTCTTCTGAATAACCGAGAGGCCTAGGTTGATGATATTTGGCCAGTAACATGCTGGGATGAAGGGCTACCAAGTTTGTTCAAATAAATGACCTTGATTTATATTCAAAGTTACTGGGGTCAAATATGTTTGAAACCTTTAAACAACTTTTTCTGAATAACCGAGAGGCCTACGATGATGATATTTGACCAGTAACATGCTGGGATGAAGGGCTACCAAGTTTGGTCAAATGAATTACCTTTGCCCATTTTTTCTGAATTACTTTTAAGTCAAGACGCTGATATTTTGCCTGTAGCTGTATTTGAGTCCTCTTTTAAGGTTACAATTGTGAGATTAATACCAGGTGAGCGATGCAGGCCCATTGGGCCACTTGTTTTACCCAAGACCAATCAAACAGCTATCTTTGTGCCTTCAATTTGGCTATGAGATATTCCAGGGGTGTAGAGAGCGAAATGAGATTGTAACCCCTGGAGTGTCGAGGATGCTTAACCTCGCGAACACGATCCTATCCCAATATATCTTTTGAAACATTGTTTGCTCAAACTGATTAACTCCATCATCGACAAATCTCTGGTTGAGTCTAGTGTTCAACCCTGTTTCAAAACAGCCATTAATTTCCCAATGTTAAGATACAGTGTAGACTAGAACGAAATGGAGAACACATGGCCTACAAGTATGGCGAACCTAAATTCTCGTTGCAAATTGACTTGACAAAATCTCTATATCCTCCTTGATTTCGGTTCGGTTTAGTTTATATGAGATGGGTTTATCTGGTAGCGTTTTACCAAGATGCATATTAGAAGCTATGCACCAACCATCCTCGATACTCAGGGAGCTACGATTACTTTCGCTCTCTGCACCCCTGGACTATGTCATAGCAGAATTGAAGGCACGAAGATAGCTGTTTGATTGGTCTCAGGTAAAAAAAAACACACCACCATGACCAATCGCTAGGCTGATACCTGTCCTTTGAAGATAACAAAGGAACGGCACCCGACTTCAAAGCCTGTCAATTTTCCGTTACTTGACTGCGAGATTCTTTTGATGTACATCAAAGGATCGAACTAGTCGTTTCGTCTCATCAATAAGGTGGCCCACACTGAGCCTTAACTTTTGCTTTGACATATTCCAGGGGTGCAGAGAGCGTCGAGTATCGAGGATGTGCTCAAACTGGTCATCTGATTTAAACCTTGATCTTCCGCTTTTGTTATTGTTCTAAATACTTTGGCGTCGTCAACAAATAGGAACGCTTCCGAACATATCGGGCGTGGCAGGTCATGTATGAAGATAACAAACAAGATAGTCCCATAGCTGAACCTTGAAGGATACCGGATGTGACCTCCTTCCTAGAAGATGAACTATTATCTACAGACATGCATTGTCCCCTACCTTGTTGGAAATAGTGTATCCACTCTACAAATTTTCTTGGATAATGTATAGTTTTAGTTTGATGATAAGTCAGTCTTTAGTGAATTAATTGTCGAAACCTTTTGGTAATCCATAAATATACAATCTATTGGGGAAAACCCCTATCTAAAGGCCTTGTCCATCTGCAACTACAGCTAGCAATTGAAGTGTTGTAGATCTGCCCGATTATTGCTAAAACAGTTTCTTTTTACAAAATCTATTACAAACTAGTATGTTCGATTGTGTGGTTAAGCTAATAGATCTGAAGTTCCCTGCATCTTCACTTGTAGTGGTTGATTATACAAGTATTTCATTGTAAGTTGTACCGAGAGTGATTCTGTAGCCTTCTTAATTGCAGGTGAATGCCGTCCATTATTACCGGTAAGCTTGATCTTGGTATCCGCTACGTCCACCCGAAGCTCTGCCAAGTCGTGTGTTATTTCTTTGTTTTGGATAGCAGGGATATCACCGGATGGCTCCTGCTTGAATACACTACTCAAGTCAAGTGTTTTGGGAGAATTTCAGCTTTCTCCGTAGTTTTGTATTCTGAGTTTAAATACATACTCTATGATTATGGTAATGGCGAAAAAAAAGAGAATAATTAGTTTCAACAAACCAAAATCTCCCCAATGTAACAAATAATTAACATAATAAGGTTATCAGATGGTACTTGTAAATCAATCACTGGAAAAAAAACAGTACTCGGTGTGTCAATTCCTGTGACCACATATATTTCTCAAACTTGAGACCGGCGGTGTCGAAGTTAAGTTTTGGTCGAGTTCATGTCAACAAAACCGAAATATCCCCAATGTTACAAATGAGCTCAGGTCAACAAACCAGAATCTCCCCAATGTAATAAATAATGAACATAATAAGGTCATCATATGGTACTTGTAAATCCCCGGTACTCGGTGTGTCAATTCCTGTGACCACATATGTTTGGAACAGTCATTTCATTTCAACAAATGTTATTGACAGATGTAATAGTCAAATGGATTGAATAACAGGCAAGCCTTTATAAATTCTTTCCATGGGTGGCTCAAAATTTGATCGAATGTATATACAATGTAGTTACAACAATAATGATTAATTAATTTAAGGATACTTTGAAATGAAAAATTATATATAAATGTATAAAGAGTAATACTAATTAAAGGATAATGGGAGATAACTCCAACATGACAAACACAAAGGGGATAAACTCATCATAGGACATCACAATAACAATACACAAACAACTCACAATCATACATCCAACACAAATACAATTATTTTCTTATTAAATAAAGCATAGTCACAGTCAGTATGTCATATGTACAGTAAGAGTAGACTTTGACCAAAAGTCCATGTGCATGTATGTGCACAGGTCATTGCTACTAATACTGTTTATGAGTAAAAAGTACAAATTTAAATAATGTGACAGAAAGGCAATATAATATTATGTTTATTATATTGAACAGAAAATAAACAAGATATAACAAACCTACTCAACTGTAATGTCATTTATCATTATGCATCAAAAAGTTTATACTTTGTTATTCCATTAACAATTCAGATAATGCATCATGGCTTTCTTTGTCATATAAAAATTAAAACGCCTAGCTTTTCCAATAAAAATCTGAATATGACTTAGCATCTGCCTGTTTATATTCAGATCACATGTAGGACAACCTTGAAAAAATATATTTAAATCCATATGGTTATGATTACTAATATTATTCAAAGAAGTAAACACAGTATTTCGTTGTTCGATATACAGTTGACAATTGAAGAGATAATGAGAGGCTGTTTCGTATTCAAAAGAACAAGCACAAGTTGGACTATCTATTAAATGGTCACGATATAAATCAGAATTTAAATTACTACAGGAATTTCTTAATTGGCAAAGAATAATATTTACCCTTTCTTTCACCATCGTTTTTAAAAATTGAAGTTACTTCTATGTCATTAACTTTATCTTTATTTTGTAATTTTTTAAACAGAGCAAGAGATGGAGAGTTATTAGTTCTACACATAGGTGGGTTAAAGAGTCTGGTTTGTCTAACAGAGTAGGGATTGTTATTATGATTGTTAATAAAAGGATTTGTGACATTTTGTAAGTATTGAGGTGAGAGTCCATGCATTATCTTATACAT